ATTACTGTCAATGCTGCTAATGGGTCTGGTATGTTTGTTGTATCTGTTGGGTCTGTCCTACCGTTTGCTATGTCTGTTGTCTTCATTCCATCTGTCCTTTATGTTCCTCAGTTATCTATCAGTTTATTATCTATCAGTCAGCTTGATGTCTCTGGTTTTGATGTTATCTTTTCTTCTTCTATTTGTTCTGTGCAGAATTGGATGTCTAAGCAGCAGATTGGGACCGATCGTAGAGTTGGAGACCTCTATGTGGTGGAGAGATTGCATCTGTCTATGGCAACCTCTTTGACTGCCCTTTCTTCTTTCCAGTTAGATTCTCTATCTAGTCCTTTCTACTTGTGGCATTCTAGATTAGGACATTTGTCTGTTTATTGCTTACGGTCTTTAGCTCAATCTGGTATATTGGATAAAGTTTCTCCTAGTGAACTTAGTGAATGTTGGGATTGTAAACTTGCCAAAATGACAGCCTTACCTTTTCACAAAAGTACTTCTATATCTGATACACCATTTTCTTTAGTTCATACTGATGTTTGGGGTCCTTCTCTTGTTCTCACCAAAAGAGATTCTGCCTATTATGTGTCATTTGTTAATGATTGCACTCGTTACACTTGGGTTTATCTTATGGCTCATAAGTCTTACTTCTACCAGATACTCCGTACTTTCTAGTCTATGGTCACTACATAATTTGGGTCTACTATTAAATTGTTGCGGTCTGACTTGGGCGGGGAATACTTTAAAATTGAATTCTGTAAATATTTAGCCAAATTGGGTACCATTCACCAAACTTCTTGTACTGATATACCTGTCCAAAATGGTCGAGCTGAGCGTAAACACCGTCATCTTCTTAAGACAGCTAGGTTTCTCCTTCTCTCTGCCTCTGTTCCAACTCCGTTTTGGGGTGAGGCAGTTCTTACTGTTGCTTTTCTTCTTAACCGTATGCCTACTCCCCTTTTTTCTAGTCAGTCTCCTTATAAGGCTTTGTTTTCTCAACTTCCCAATTATTCCCTCCTTCGTGTGTTTGGGTCTGCTTGTTTTGTCCTTTTGCCTCGTAAAGATAGAACCAAACTTAGTGCCCGGTCTGTCTTATATGTCTTTTTGGGTTATAATCTCACTCAAAAAGGTTATCACTGTTATGACCATATTTCCCGTCGCCTTAATGTCTCCCGTCATGTTGCCTTTCTTGAACGTCTACCTTACTTTCAACTTCCTCCTCTCACCGCCCCAGTTTTCAAAGAGGATTTAGTTCATATTGATCCGTTTTCTTTTGAGGTTCCGTTTGATAAGTATATCTCCACAGTTCCCCCTTGAGTTTGTTCCATTTTCTCCTCCTGTTTCACCTCTGGCTGCTTCTCCTCTTTCATGGTTATTTTATTCTCGTCGCAAGGCTTCTCCTCCACCGGTTGTCTCTACCCCTGCTACTGATCCTCCTATTTCTGACGACTCTGATCCTGCTGCACACTGATATCCTACTCGAGCGCGTCATCCTCTAAACAAGTTGGGTTGGTCTAATACATGTTTTTCTCTTTCCTATCGTACTTTTTTGTCTGCTATTCACTCTTTTTCAAAACCTCAGTCTTACTAAGAGGCCTGTTAGGATCTTCATTGGGTTCAAGCTATAGAGGATGAGTTGTCTGCTTAACAGAAAACTAGTACTTGGGATTTGGTTCTGTTACCTGCTGGTAAGAATCAGGTTGGTTGTAAATGGGTCTATAAAGTCAAAATTCATTCTGATGGTTCTCTTGAGTGTTACAAAGCTCGTCTAGTTGCCAAATGTTTCTCATAGGAGTATGGTATTGATTATGAGGAGACCTTTGCTCTTGCTGCCAAGATAACTACTGTCCGTACTTTGATCTCTATTGCTGCTGTTCGTTCTTGGCCTTTTTATCAGATAGATGTTAAGAATGTTTTTCTTAATGGCCATCTCACTGAGGAGGTTTACATGCGTCCTCCCCTTGGTCTTTCCCATTCTTCTGGACAGGTTTGTCACTTTCGGCGTGCTCTGTATGGTCTGAAGCAGTCTCCTCGTGCTTGGTATGATCACTTTCAGACTGCTGTTACTGAGCTTGGGTTTCATCCTTGTGCCCAGGACTTTGCTTTATTTCGTCTTCACACCTCTACTGGAATTGTTGCATTATTACTGTACGTGGATGATATGATCATCACTGGTTTTGACTCTTCCACTATATCTGAGGTCAAACAGTATCTTTTCCACACCTTTAAAATGAAGGATCTGGGCCCATCGCTGTATTTTCTTGGTATTAAGGTAGCTTCTTCTCCCAAGGGCTATGTTCTATCTTAGGCCAAGTATGCCAATGAGGTTATTCATTGTGCCAGTCTTACTGACACTAAGATTTTTGATACCCTCATTGAGCTTAATGTCAAGCTCAACACTACTGATGGTGTTCTTTTGGATGATCCTACTTTATATCGCGAGCTCGTGTGATGCTTGGTCTATCTGATGGTTACTCATCCTGATCTTGCCTATGCTGTTCATGTGGTTAGCCAGTTTGTCTCTGCTTCTCGCTCTACCCATTGGGTTGTTTTGGTTCGGATTCTTTGGTATCTCCGGGATACTATATTTCAGGGTTTACTACTGTTTTCCACTTTCTCTTTAGACTTGGTGGCTGATGTTGATTTTGATTGGGCTGGTGATGTCACTGATCGCAAGTCCACTTCTGGCTTCTGCATGCTTCTTGGTGATTCCTTGATCTCTTGGAAGGCAAAGAAACAAATTGTTGTTGTGCGTTCTACTGCCGAGGCTGAGTACCGTGCTATGGCTCATGCCACTGCTAAGAGTGTTTGGCTTCGTTGTCTCTTAACTGAGTTGGGTGTTCCGCAGTCTTCTCCGACCTCCCTTTACTATGACAACCACAATGCTATTCATATTGTACAGAACACTGTCTTTCATGAGCGAACGAAGCACATTGAGATTGATTGTCATTTTGTATGTCAGCATCTGCAGTCTGGTTCCATCTCGCTTCCTTTCGTCCTTTCGGCGTTGCAACTTGCTGATTTCTTTATGAAGACTTACACCACTGCTCGCTTTCAGTTTCTTCTTGGCAAACTCACATGGTATGTTTGGTTTGTATTTGGGAGATGAGTTTTAGAAAAAAATTTCTAAAAAATTGTTTGGTTTGAGTTTTTCTCAAAAAATTTTCAAAATCACTTTCTCTCTCTTACACATCAATCAATCACTTTTTCTCTCTCCTCTCTCATTCTCAATCACTTTTTCTCTCACATACATCTACTTAAATTCTCCCAAAATATAAAATCATCCCAAACTCCTAAAAAAACAACTCTCCCAAAATATACAACCAAACAAACCAAAAAAATTTCTGAACTCTCTCTCCAAATTTTTTTTCAAAAACAACTCTCCCAAAAACAAACCAAACAAGCTCACAGTGTTTTTTGCTAAAACACTTTGAGTTTGAGCGAGGGTGTGAGAATATTATGTTAATTTTGGAAATATATATTGTGTATTTTTAGATTGATTGTATTGTATTTCTTATTTCAGATTAGGGTTAGGATTGCTATATATATTAGTTGCAATCTTTGTATTAGCACAAGTTGAATACGCTGAAAACATTCAGAAATCTTACATAGCCGACTGACTCCTGAACACTCCTAGTTTTACCCTTCTATTGTGCTCAACAAATCCAACCCGAAATACTCTAAAATCATGGCCAGAAGTTTAAGCAAACAGAACAAAGAAAGTGGGAGAGAGAGAACATAGAGGGAAAATAAGAGTGCTGGTCTGCAGCTTTTATTTTCTGAAATGAGGGGAGAGGATGAGATATTTGTGGTGACCACAACAACTTAAGGAACCAAGGCTCCGATTGGCTCGAAACATTGTGTTTGGCCAAATAAAGCTAGAGATTCAAAATTCATCATTTTAAGTCCCAAACATTATAAAAGTAGTTGAAACAATTGTTCATACTAAAAAGTAAAGGGTTAATTACACTGACACCCCCTGAGGTTTGGTCCAATTACATTTCAACCCCTGATGTTCTGGAAATTATATTCCCACCCTTGTAGTTAACATTCTCATTTTACAAACCCCCCTGCTTATATAAAAGACAACAACTCCTAATAGAAAAAAATAAGAAATTACATTGAAAAAAAATAAGTAAAGCAAAGTAAAGGGGAAAAAATAGAGAAAATAAAGTAAAATAAGAAAAAAGAGAGTGCAAAAGCTCAATGTTTTCATTCCGTTTAAATAATTACAATGACAAAGGGTTAGTATAATTTTTCAAACATCAGAAGGTGATATGTATTAAACCCCAATCTCAGGAGGTGTAAGTATAATTTATCCAAAAGTAAAAGTTGAGTTCATTTGGTCACACGACTCAACACCTAGCCAAGCCAAAAACCCACTTTTTATCAATACTGATTAAACCGCACTCAAAGGTTCCTATGGTCAACTGGATATTATTAAATGTCTAAATAAAATTTAATTGAGTCCAAAGTGAATTTCCATTGGTCAAACTAAGTGAACGGTATGCTGTAGCTAGAGTGTGTTGTAGCCTTGTAGATTGGTTCCCATGGTTCTATCCTTCTCAGTAAAACATGGCGTGCTCAAATTCTGATATTTTTCACGTGAGAAAGGAGGACCACCCTCTAAGCCTAAGTATTCCTCGATGACCGATAGCGTACATGTGTGTGTGTATGTATATATATAGGGGCTAACTGGTTGCCTTGAGAACTTGGGACAAAGTTTCTAAAGATGTTACTTTTGACTCAAAGTGCTTCTACACTATGCACCTCAAAATAAAATGGATACTCAACTTTATCTCTTCTTTCCCTCCTATTCTCCACTATAACATTTCTCTTCTCCTTGCGTCTTTGGGATTAGGAAATCATGTAATTTGAACAATCTTGTAATATAAAAAGATTGCTTAACAGAACTTTTTTCTATTTAAATAATATTTTTTTTACGTTTAATTATGTATTCATTAATTGATATAAGATTATGCTAATACCATATTTTTGTTATTGTGAAGTATATGGGAGAGCTGGGTTGCAACTTTGAGGTTTACCGGAATGATGAGCTTACTGTGGATGAATTGAAAAAGTAAGACTTTATAATTCTTAATGTAAAAGTTTGTTTTCTCTTTCGTGCATATGGTGCTACCTCTTTTGGGTGGTGAAGATTGCGCTAGATATTTTATTTTGTAGGCTGTTTAATTCATTATTGATTATGTGCATTATTTATTCCCTACATCATTTCTATAGGAAAAATCCAAGAGGAGTGCTTATATCCCCCGGACCAGGTATCTAGTTGTGCTTCATTTATTTTTCCTTCTAATCTCTGCAACATTTATAGTAAACATGTTTTTCTTTCATAATAGGCACACCTCAAGATTCAGGAATATCACTGAAAACTGTATTGGAACTTGGACCTACTGTACCTTTGTTTGGTGTCTGTATGGGACTGCAGTGCATTGGGGAGGCTTTTGGAGGTGAGTCACTTGTAAATTTGTTTTCAGTTGGCATTGTGACTTCTCAATTAGGATGGAGATTCTGGTCCTTCACCCATTTGATCAAATTGCCCTGCGTTATGTATACACACATGACAAGTACTGTGAAAAGCAACAATGATACATTGACATACGCATTAGTTTGTTCAATAATATGTGCATATATGCTAAACAATTTAGATATGTACTATCCAAAATGCCAACCAAGAATTCTTGTGAGGTGTGGGATCAATTATTTATGCATGGATAATTTACTTAGATGAAAGCTTTGCTAAATGTTTTCCCAAGGTGTCTTTCTAAACTATTATATTGTTTGGTCCATTTATTTTAAAGACTACCAATTCCATCTTCTGAAGAGAATACCTTTTGGCACTAGAGCATGCCAATAAATCTTGTATTGATTTTTTTTCTTCTTTCCTTTTCAATTGGAAAATTTCTAAATGGTTGGCTCATAAATTGCAGCACAAAGTATTAGTCCAATAGAAACACACAGACACACAGAAGATTAAATGAAGAATGAAAAATATGAAATATTGGGAAACGTGAAAATTTGTTTATAGGAAGAATATGGGATGTAGTTGAAAAGGAGAATAAGAAAAGGTCCTTTGCTGATCTGATGAGGCTATGAGCACTTCTGAACAAAATGCATATTTTTCTTCCATTCCATTGAGTCAGCAAAAAACCAACAGCTAAAATGTTTTTTCAAGGAAATGACCTGAAAAATAAATTGTCGGCTTTTCTTATTTGAAGTGCAAGATAGTCTCTTGGTAAGATTGAATCTACATCAAGATAACTGGGACAACTTTAAAACATGCTATTTGCTATCAAAGCAGAGACAGTAAACAAGATCGACGAAAAGAAGAAGAAGAAAGCTCATTGCGTTGGATAACTGTGTCCTTTCTTGCTTCTAAACATTGGTTGCCCTTAGGGTCTTGTAAAGAATGAGGGGATGAATATGCTATACCAATTAAGTATTTTTTTTGTTTCCAAAATTTCCTAGACCTCATATAAGTATAAAACAAACTGGTAAAAGAAATTTTCTAAAAGCTCTTTTCCAGATTGAACTGCCCAAGCAGCCAATTACTTGAAATAATGTAAAACTTCCCAGAGTATAATACGAATGGCATAGGATTCATTATTTTATTTCAGAAATGCTGTTTATAGAATGTCGAGAGACAGTCAGGGGTAGTGGTTTGATATCGTGTGATAAAGACCTATCGGCTGGATCAGTAGAGTGATATGATTCTACTTGAAGGCATAGCTCTACAGGCTTAGAAGTTTGTAATGAATGTGTGTTAAAGTTGCAGCACAACACAGTGACTTCTAATTGAATGAAAAATATATTCTCTAAATAGGAAAAAAAAAAATTTAAACATGATTTATACAACCAATCGCAAAAATTGGTATAAGACTTGGATTAGTTGAATCCTATTATATTTATAAAAAAAAAAAAAAATTACAGTTATGTAAAATAAGTTTTCTATGTAATTGCTGCATAGACTGTAGATGAAAAAAGAAGCTCAAGAAACATTTTGAGATATTTCAAAGATCTCCTAGACTTGCAGTAAAGAGGGAGCCTTGTGCATTGGGCATGATCTTTGTTTATTGGGATTATGGTTTTATTTTTTTTTTCTTGCTCATAATTTTGAGATATTGTCTTGCAGGCAAGATTGTGCGTTCTCCTCATGGTGTTATGCATGGAAAAAGTTCCCTTGTCTATCATAATGAGGGTGGGGAAGATGGCCTATTTTCTGGGTTATCAAAGTAGGTTATTTTGTCATTATGTCATTTAGTTAGTGATTATTACTTTTATTCAATTTAGATATTGTTTATGGTCAGGCTTCCACATTGAGTTATATTAAAATACTTTGTAAGGTATGACTTACCTAGAGTTAAATCAATTTATTGTTTCAAATGCATTAGCAATTTGGTTGACATTGCCTCATGCTGCACAAATTTAGACTTTCATACTTTCAGTATAATGTCTCAAAAGCCTAAAATTTCTATTATCCTAGAGGTATGAACTCCTCCTAAAGTCAACTTCTCCATATTATTATGATTGAATTGTATATGAAAATAACTCTTCTAGTTTTGTTAATCTCATTCTCCTTAGTAATGTCTTTGGTTTTTTCATCCTTAATGTAGTTAACGTTTCATAACTTTGTAATCTTTCCCTTATGGTAGCAAGTTCATCTGTGTACATATATAATTTACTTGTTGCCAATCATCCAAATGTTTTACTTTGGGCTCCCTTACTGCTCTCTCAGCCATTCGCCTCTTTTTGTAAATTCATCAATGTCTTCAGCAGCAAAAAAAATTATGAGTATTATTATTGCATACTAATTGGCGATATGACCCTTGATAGAGCTGAATAGTGGTTAATTAGAGTTATAGTTGAGTTTGGCAAGGGAGATGGCCTCTATCCCACCTTTCCTTTCACCCTTGAGTTTTTTTATTTTTTAGTTTTTTTATAATTTATTTATTTATAAATAACTATTTTTCTCTTTATTTTTAACTTAATAAAGGTATCTCATCTATAATTGGACTATCCTTGGAGCCTATTGTCTTACTAAATGTATATGTAACAGTTGGATGCCAATAAGTTATGTATTGTAAAGCTAAGCTATATAATTGTTGGTAATTTATCTTGCAGTAGAGCTCTTTCTCAAAGCTTATTTTACATGGAAAATTAAACAATAAATTGGTTGTGTTTATTCATTTTCATGTAACCTGATATAAATGGCCTTGATATCACCTAATTATTGCTCACTATTGTGGAAAATTCAAGTTAAATCTTCGCATAACTAACTGATTTGTTGATATGCTTATTTGCTTTCAGCCCTTTCACTGCGGGTAGGTATCATAGCCTTGTGATTGAAAAGGAGAGTTTTCCCCATGAAGCACTTGAGATGACTGCATGGACAGAGGATGGACTGGTAATGGCTGCTCGCCACAAAATATATAGGCATCTATTGGTAAGATTTGTTTTACATTTTCACTTACGCTTTAATGCAGTAGTAGAGTATCACTATCCTTATTGAGGATGATGAAGCTGCGAGTCCTCACTTGTTGATGATTCTGTTTTTTGGCCCCGTTCGGTAACGATTCTGTTTTCCATTTTCTTTTGGAAACTATAAATGAAAACTTGTTTGGTATACGGGTTTTGTTTTAAAAAATAAAGAATTGATTCCAAAATTTTCAAAATTTTTGGAACTGAAAAAAAAGTGTTTTCAAAATAAGTTTTCACTGTTTCCTCCTTTCCCCACCACCACCAGCGGCCCTCAGTGACCTCCAGCCTAGGAAGCACTGACATAGATACGATATGACAACCAAAAAAAAAAAAAGGATACGGGTACGGGTACGGGTAGGATATATTTTTTTAAAAAAAAAAAATTTGAAAATCATTAGTAGTGAGGTACACATAAGCTCAAGAACATTGAGAAACCATGCTGTAATTTTATAATGCAAAATACTAATTTTTAAGAATTTGGTATTAATTTAAGCCAATAACTAGTTTATTTTTAATTTTCAGTAAGTTTTGCATATATTTCATTTCAATATCAAGTCTAATATATTTATATTACAATATTAGAACAATCCACAATTTGTCCATGTTCTGTTCCGTTTTAGACTAATCAAAAATATTGTATGCAAGTTTACTTACTTATTTATTTATTGATATTTAATTTTACTATTATTACGTTTTCTTGTTAATCCTTACTTTATACATGTAAGTCTGTCCTTTGTGGGATGCAAGTCCTTTCATGTTCACCAAATTGTGCAATTATTTTTCGACTGTTCCACTGAAATTCTATTACCCCCTTTTCGAAAGGGAGAAAAGTGGAAATTCGTTTGCAATGCTGTAGCAAAAAGGTTTTAATAGAGAACACCTTCGTAGAACTGTCTTGATATGAATTATGAACTGCTAACAGATTATTTCTACCACTTATTGGAGATAGAATTCTCATCCATGTTTTGTAATTACTCTAGCATTCTCAAAACAAAGTGAGTTACTGCACACACAATGTGTGGAAACTAGGCAACATCTATGTCATATGGCAATGAGAAGTTTGTTCAAAACTTTAAATTAAAACTATTTATGGCATTAATGAGGAAGTTTGTGGGAATTATCTGCTTCAATTGCTTTAGTTTATCACACAACATTTAAAAAAAAAATTATAAAGTCATATATGATATACTCAATTGGTGGGTATGGCAAAATGCTTTTATGGTGCCTATAGTTTGATATGTAGTTCTAGTTGCATTAGTTTCCCCTCTAATTTTTCAGTTTGTATTGGTTCGGTTTCTAACTGAAAAGAGCCATTAGGTTTTTAGACAGAAAAGAGCCATGTGCCACTCAACATGACCATTTTTTAGGTGCATAATGGTTAGGTATTTCTCTCTCCAACCGCCACAGCCACCATCTCCCCCCTCTTCAGCAACCCTTTGTTGGCCATCACCGCAGTCAACCAAAAAAAAAGAAAGTACTTTTAATATGAACATGAGAGTTCATAAAAATGTGTGAGCTGGAGTGTCTTCTCCTACTAGGTTTGCAATATTGCAAAGTTTGAAACTTGACTTTTATAAACTAAATTAAACATATTTAAAGGCCACACTGAAAGCATATTAACATGCTGTAGCTCGATTATTTAATCTTTTCAAAGAACATAATGTGGTTGGGACCTCTTGAACAGCAAATGTGGATGGCAGTCTTTGTGGATGTCTTGAAGGTTATAATGGGGTTTAATGGGCAAAGTGGTCTTGGTTCTCTAAAATCATTCTTTTACTCATTACACCCATCCCAAAATTACTTCTTGGCTTCAATTTTTAACTTAAGGTGTTAGTCCTCTTTCTCTTATTCTTAATTTGTTGATCAGGTTTAGGGACAAGCTCCAAAAGAATCATGATTGAAGTGAAACATCAACAATGATTGGATTGTAGATCTTTAGTTGTTTTGCCTTTTTTAAGATAGGGCCCTTGCAAGTTTTATTTTTGGCTTTCTCGGTTAAGGTCTGATCATCTCTTGAAGTATGAAATTATTCTATTTGGCTGAGAGTAATAACAAAGGAAAAAGGTGGGTAGTTCACCCAAAAAGCTGATTGCTACTTTTTCTTGGTATTGTGTCTCTTTATATGCTAGAGGACAGTTATACACTGGATTTATATGAAGGAAATAAAGTTGATTGTTCCATCTCCTCTTCATTCACATGCTAGCTGAAAAAAGGCTAACAATAAGATGTACATGTGATTGCTCCTTCCTCTTTTGCTCCCATATGCTTTTGAAAAACTTTCTAAGATTGCTTTTAGTTCTATTGTGTGTCAATGATTTGTTATGACTTGGCTTCATTCAGGTAATGGTCTAGATGAAGTGTTCTAGTCATGTTGAGTGACTAAAGTAACCTTGCCTATAATCTTTAATTTCAAAAACAAATGAAGGTTTAAATGCAGTGGTTAGAGTTCAGTATTTTTTTTTTTCCCTCACCTCTTGAACCCCATTAATATTCTGCTGTAATTTACATCTCCCAGAGATATCACGTAAGTGCACACACGTATTAGTATAGGCATGTTTGATGTAGTTTCTGCTTACAACTTATAAGGTAGAAGTAGCTTAATAAGATGATTATTCAGAAGGAAGAAAAAGGATGCTTTTAGTTTTTGCCTTTTAATTATCTGCTTTCAACTTGCAAGAAATTGCACCAAACAAGTCTCAAATGTCTTGTGGCGTAAAATTTGCTACATGGGATTGTAGTTGTGCTTGTTCTATTTTCCCAGTTCTTATTTCTTTTGGCGTACATGTTCTTTTTCCTTTTTCATTTTGACATTTATGTAGTTTCTGCTTACAACTTATGAGGTAGAAATAGCTTAATAAGATGATTATTCAGAAGGAAGAAGAGGGATGCTTTTAGTTTTTGCCTTTTAATTATCTGCTTTCAACTTGCAAGAAATTGCACCAAACAAGTCTCAAATGTCTTGTGGCGTAAAATTTGCAAGAAATAGCTTAATAATGTTGTGTTTGGTTGGGGGATTTGGAGAGGGATTTGGAAAGGGAAATGGAAAAGGTAGGTGAAATGTGAATAAATCATGCCTATATTTCACATAGTTTCACACGTCTTTTCCCTTTTCCTTGCCAAATCCCTCCCCAAATCCCCCAACCAAACACACCATAAATGGGATTGTAGTTGTGCTTGTTCTATTTTCCCAGTTCTTATTTCTTTTGGCATACATGTTCTTTTTCCTTTTCATTTTGACATTTTTTTTCCCCGTTTTTTCAACTACCTTTGACGTCACAAATAGCTTGTTTGTTGTAATTTTTTGTGAAAATGCAGGGGGTTCAATTTCATCCAGAAAGCATCATAACCTCCGAGGGGAAGATGATTGTTAAAAATTTCATCAAACTGATAGAGAAAAAGGAAGAAGCTGAATCTCAGGAATAGGGGGTTAGATATAAAGCCAGTTTTAATGTAAAATAATATCACATGTTTCTTAAAAATTTTAAAATTTTCGTGTCCTCTCTTGTTGTGGCTTCATTGGTGTGAGCTTGTCATGAGATAGCTTCTTGAAACTTATGAACCATTGTATGTTGGGAAAATGCTTTACAAACTAATAAAAACAAAAATAATTTGGGATAAGTAAATTCTACCTTTGTATTGTAGCATATCAAATATTACAATCAAGTGCACTAAAATCCATTCCAAGCTTAATTTTCACCCATTTGACAATTATCAACTCCAATGAATGGTAAAACCACCTAATCAAAGATAATTTTGAAAAAGAACTGTAAAAGAATTTTTTATTTTTTTTATTTTTTATTTTTATTTTTTAAAAAAAAAGAAGAAAGAAAAACCGTGTTACAAAAAAGCGTATAGCATGTTTTTCTTTAAACAAGAAAAGTCTTTGTTTGGAAAAATAAAAAAAAAATAAAAAAAGAGAGAAGAAAAACCAGACCTGGAGCTTCTTCTTCTTGGGTTTTTATGACTTTGATGACCAGAACAAGTTTGAAACCCTTATTGTGGGTTTTGCTTTACTTCATAAGATGAGCTTATGGTTTACTCTTTCTCTTGGATGTTATGTGTCCTAGATCTAGGTTTGATTGGGCATCTAAGTTTTGCTTGTACCATAATCAGTTAGATTTAACAGTTGTCAATTAAAATATTTAGATAGGATTAGTAACTGCTGATAACTACTCCAAACAATTCTCTAGCATGAGCAGATCAATTTATAGTCTTTATTTTATAGTATATATATATATATATGATATTTGTATCTGTTAAATGTTTAATAAAATGTCACTAGCAATGGCTAATTATTTTTATAAAATAAAAATTATAGAACAGTAATATTAAGATAACAGTGGCTAGTTATTATCCATCCGTCTATGATTAACCTTTAATTATGTTTTTCATTGCATCTATGTACTAGACAGTGAGTTTGTATTTTAGGTCCTTCTAAGTATCTGGAATTTGTGTTTAAAGCTTTTAGTTGTTTTATTATGTCTATATAGAAATACATAGACCTTGTTTATGTTATGCTATAATTATTTAGTATTGGGAAATATTTTTATTTTTAATAAATGTTTTTATTTATAGTGGTAAATTCAAAACGTACTTGAAAACACTTGATACCAATATGTATGATGCTAATGAAAAATCATAACTATTCTCTTTTGGGGGATTTACGTGTAGGTTTTAATAGGTGAATTTATTGTTTAATAATCTCTATGATAATTAATAGTGTTTTTCATCAAACACTATTAAACAATGTTATTAATTGTTAATTTTCAGCAATAATTTGAAAATTGTCACAAAAATGTCACTAATTATAAGTTTTAGCGACAATTTAAAAAAATCACTAATTTTCAACTTTCAGAGACAATTTAAAATTTTCATCACAGAAAAATGTCACTAATTGTAAGTTTTAGTGACAATTTATAAAAATTGTGATAAAAAAGTCGCTAATTGTCAATTTTTAGTGACATGCAAAAAATAATCACAAAATTATTTTTACTGATGATTTTACTAGGACTTATTTTCAATAGGACTTTATGAGAATTAAGTCTAACTATTAGGACTTATTTTTATTTTATTTTTTTAGATAATTACTATTAGAATCTAGGGCAAATTACATATACCTCCCTTGAGGTTTGACTAAATTACAGATATCCCCTTGAGGTTTTGGAAATTACATCCCGCCCCCTAAGGTTTGTATTTTCATAACAATTTGTCCCCCGAGATTTAAATTTCATAACAAATTAACCCCTAATTTGTTATGCAAACATAGCATTCAGAAAAATTTTTGTAATTTCTCAAACCTCGAGGGGTATATATAATTTGCCCTAGAATCTATTGATAATTTACCCATTTCTTTTTAGTCCATGTTTCTTAACCTTCCTTCCTGACTTTTCTCCTACAATTCCCCTTGAAAAGACAACCCTTATTAAACAGATTTTAATATAATAGAATATCTCTATTACAAATATGAAAAGGGGACAATTGCAAAAAAGTGACAACATCACAAAATAATTTTAAAATGATAAAAGTATAAGTAATTTATACATTAGACTGTGTAAATAAGTCTTGTACTTTTATCATTTTATAATTATTTTAGATTGTTATTATTTTTTTGCAATTGTCCCTATGACATGGATACAATCGCAATCGTTATAAAACTATCCTAATAAAAAAAAAGGACAATATCAGATAAATGGTGAACAAGAAAAATAATTATAAATCATTAAAGTGCAAATGAGACATCATGTGTTTGATGTGTTTTTCGGTAATTTTTTAAATATTTTAAGTAATTTTTTTTTTAACTTTTTAAATTCACGTAATCTATATACACTTTAAAAAGAAAAATATGTGATTTTTAAAAATTCACTAAATACAAAAATATAGTATATTTTTATTCTTTTGTATTTATTATTATTTTTATTTTCTGAGAAATATTTTTACATTTAAGTTATGTGCATTTAAAAAATTTTAAAATGAAAAAATTGACTACAATATGAGAGGGTTCTCTAAAGACAATAAAACACAAAAAATTCAAAAATTTAAATTATTTTTAAAAATTCAAAATCAAACGGAGTGAATCTTTATTAACTTGCAATTAAATTCTCCATTTCTTATTTGTTTGACATTTTAATATTATAAAAAAAAAATTAAAAATACGTTGACCATATTTGGTGCAGCTTTGTAGTTTGTCTTCTTTGTTCTTTTCTTTGGTAAATTATATTCCATTCTTTTGATATTTAAAATAAAAAAAAATAAAAAATAAAAAATATACAATTTTGACAAAATTATACATTCTTTTTTTTAATAAGGTTAAAAAGAACAAAACTTATGTAGACGAAAATACAAAGATAAATAAGATAAAACACATATTTCAATATAAATTATTATTTTTTAATCAATATAACTAACAAATTATTAATAAAAATAAAATTAATTGTAATGTGAATTAAAACTTTAACGAAACTCAATATAATTATGCCTCCGTTTGGGAAGTAGGTTGACTTTTTGACTTTTTTTACTATTTTAGTCTGGGCTTAAAAGCATGATTTGGGAAGGTTTTTTGGCTTTTTAACTTTTTTAAGTTTTTTTTAGAAAAGAATGTAATGATTATGGATTGGATGTGATGTTTTGTTTGTTATGACTAAAATAACCTATTTTATTTTTTGTGACTAAAATAACCAAAAAAACCTGCAAACTCACTTGCCAAACACAGGCATATGTAAACTTGGTCACTTTACGTAAAAGAGAGTTTGATACGATTTGAAGATAACAAATAATTTAACTAAATTAATTATTTAAAAGTTAAAAATATATATATTTTTAATTTTACTTTTATATTGGAGTATTAATTTTTTATTTGAGAAATAATCAACTAAACTGGCCCAACTGCATTACCTAGACAGCAGTCACATCAAACAGCTTAGGATTCTAAATTAATTATTTAAAAGTTAAAAATATATATATTTTTAATTTTACTTTTGTATTATTAATTTTTGAAATAATCAATCAAACCGGCCCAACTGCATTGCCTAGACAGCAGTCACATCAAACAGCTTAGGATTCCACTTAACCATTTGACAAACAACAATAATTCATCCCACTAAAAACATCACCACTAATAGCACTAATGCATTAAAAAAGTAAAAAAAAAAAAAAAAAAAAATATAACTTCAAGACCAAAACATCACATCATTAATGGTGAAACCCACTGCCATCTAATTAGTGAGAGCACTAATTAGTGCTCCAAAGCATTTTTCTTTGACAAAGTGTTCCCAAAAATATTGTTTGGTTTGTTTTTAGAAAAAAATTTTGAAAAACTTTTTTTACAAATAAATTTTTAAAAGTAGTCAAATCAAACAAATTTTTTTTAAAAAAAATCTTAAAATTTTGTTCGATTTATTTCTTTTCCAAATCACTCTCTTTCTCATACACATCAAATCAATCACTTTTTTTTTTAAACTCTCCCCAAAACAATTTTTTAAAACCATTTCTTAAAAAAACAAAAACCAAACAAATTTTCGTATTTTTTATCTCAAAAATTACTCTACAAACACAACCAAACAAACCCTTGATATCTAAATCTGACCTTTGAAGACTTGTGAGTCCAACTGGCCCAAAATTTTTGGACAAAAACATACAACTACTACTGCTACTAGTAAATAATACCAACCCTCTCCATTGAAAATTGAAGACAACATACCCTACCACACATTATAATAATAATAATAACAACTCCATATGCTAATATATTTATTTAATGAAACCATGAGTATGCTCAAAGTACAGAAAATCATCACCAAATTTAATTTATATAAAAGCCCATGAGAGGAATATAAAGGTATGAAATATATACATACCCCCATCATGATCATGAGACTCAATATGAAATATGCTTTTTACTCTCCTCTCTTTATCTATACAAAGTAGAAAAATAAATAAATAGTAAAACCTCGTGCACAAAATTCATACACAGAAATAAACCCAAATAATGTAGGGTCGCGTTTGATGAGACCCATATCTTAAATGACTCGGACCCATATTAAATATTTTGGGTATTTTTTCCGTATACAAATCTTGTGTACGTGGTATTGCTCAAAAAAATAAAATAAAAATGACCAAGTGAAATAAAACTTCCAAAGCAAGATAATGGTAATGCCCCTATGCAAATGTAGAAATTACAGCCTTTCTCAAATAGCAGTTGCCTTGGTCCGGCTTGATCCGCTTCGGTGGTGTCTCTTCCCATGGTGGCGGCGAACTCCTCCGAACGTAACCGGATCGAAACCCCGGAGCCGTTGAGCTTCTTGGGGATTAATCACACATTCAGAGGGAGGAACTGTGTATCGAGTCTGATCATAGCAATAGGAATATTGCATATGCTTCTTCCTGAAATTCTCCATTTTGGTCTTTTGGTCAGGTGTGATACCAGGAATGGATTTGGAATTCGGGGCATGGTCACATTTTAATGATGACTGCTCGATTGGATCGACTGCGCAGCCGTGAAGGATGAGGTCGGAGAATTCGGTGATATAAGGGGCATATTTGTAATTGACTTTGTATTTGCCACCATTTGTAGCCCAATTGGAACCATCCCATATTGTGGCATACAAAGACATTGGCTTGGATGGAAAGTCCCCTCCCATTGCTTCTGTCCTTTTGATCTCTCTTATTGGAACATTGTCGACATAAAATCTGCAAGAAAATAAAAGCAACAAACAGGATTAATATCAAGACTATATCAACTTCCTGTTCTCGAGTAGGCAAAGAACAATCCCAACTGAGGCAATCAACTTCTGAAAGAGTTGTTATTTTCTATCAAGATAGAAAAGGAATTTAAATTAGCAGTGCAAATTTTATTTTGAAAAGACGAGCCTCGTTCTAGTGATTTTGTTATTTGATCCTCACAATGGAATTTAGACAATAAAAAATATATATATTTTCTGTTATTATCATCCTCATATTATCACAGTTCTATATATGTGCGAGTAAATTAATTATGAAAATATAGAAAACATTTTTTTTAAAAACAAACAAAGCCCAAATTAGGTTATTAATTATACATAATTATATATAGAACACTTAAGCAAAACAGGAAATATCTTAATAAAAGAAAACAGAGCGCAATTACAGAATACATTTCCAGCAAACAATCTCCATCTCAAAACAAGAAACATCAAATCAAAAACACAAAAAAAAAATAGTAAAATCTAACAAAGTGTCAGAGATTCAGACTCTGCTAAATATGAAAAAGTGAGCCACAGTATCAGAGGGTTGTTTTTCCTTTTGCAAAACAGTGTGTTTCCAAAAGCAGAAAACAGAAAGAGAAAGCACAGTTGTTTTTGGAGTTGTTTGGTTCACTTACATGATCTGATTATCAGTCCAGAGAATACTGTATTGATGGAAATCTTCAGAAGGATCAAACCATAGACCATATCTCTCTTCTCTGCCAACATTTGTGCTTCCATTGCCATAAACATTGGTCTGAATTCTCCAATCTTTGCCTCTGATGTTCCCCAAAAATTCAAAGTCTAGTTCATCATGGTTCTTTTCATACATATCTCCATTTGACATCTGAAATTAGCACCAAAATTTTTTTTAAAAAAAAGAGAGGTTAATTTCACTTTTATCTCCTAAACCATTTGTTATTTTTTTTCTCTTGCATAGATTTTCTGATTTCAACTCAGATGGTCCAATTAGAAATAGCCCATCTAAATCAGTAATGGTGGAAATCTAATGTAATTAAAAAGAAGAAAATTTTATAACTTGAATAACCAACATGATATAACCAAACACTTTTACTTGCACTACAACTTATATTATACAACTAAACACCCATTTTTAACTCCACCTCTGAATAAGAAAAATGATTATTTGGAAGTTGTTTGAATTTTGATTTTTTTTTTTTTTTCTGCCCATCAAATTAGGCTTTAACTATTACTGATTTGGACAATCGTTTCTAATTACATACGCTCAAATTAAAATTCTAGGGACTAAAAAAAAGGATTAAATTGATAGTTTAGTGATGACATTGGAATTCATAGTTAATGGATGAAACAAAGAAGGGTTGATTTTGATGATCAAAAATCTTAAATACAAAATGAAGAAGAAAGTGGTAAGAATCTATTTGGTTATATTTGAGTTAACAATGTAAAAAACCAATATGGGTATGGTTTGGTTGGATAATATTTTCGAGACGAAAATGGAAAAATCAGTTAATTAAAACAGCAGAATGTTTTTAATTCAATTAGGTATTACAAATAAATTAATAAACCAGAAAAATATTAACAACTCTGAAATAACTATATTGAGCGTGATTTCTCTAATAAATTCTCTATTTCTGAAAATTTTAAGACCATTATACCTCCTTAAATATAGATTTTAATTCAAGAAACATACAAGAAATTTAACTGACTCTCATTAATTTGATCAGGTTTCTCCAAGTTAAAAAATAAAATAAAATAAAAATTAAAGAAACCAAAATAGAAAATAATATAGATTAGTGATCAAAATTTTCTAGAATAAATCAAAATATGAACTGTAAATTTTTTATGGGTAATTAAATTATTAACAATATAATCAAATTAGTTACTCACATAATATGCAACAACAACACCAGCTGTGTAATCTGCAGGAAGTTTGATAGAAGCACTGAAGAATCCATGAAGGTAAAGGTCTTGAGACACAAATCCAGAACCTAAAAAAAAAAAAAAAGAAAGAAAAACATTGTTAAAAACATCAAAACCCCACAAAATATTCGAAGTCTGAAAACGAAAACACAAAAAAACAAAAATCAAAGAAGGAAGAAGAAACCTGTTCTTTCATCTAAAGAGAGGTGAACTGCTTTGCCATCCCTGAGGACCATGAGATTGTCCTCTCCAAAAAGCTGTGAATACCCTTCATCAAATGATAGGATTGGGAGATTTCTTGAAGACCCAGCAGCCAAAACAAGAACAGAGCATATCAGAACCAAACCCAGATGATAATCCATTGGTTTTACAGAGACAATCACTCAGTTCTAATCAGTTTTTTGAACCTTTTATGGTTGAATGCACTTCAAAGATAGAGTCTTGAATGAGGACCGTGAGGAGAGGAGAAAAGAGGACTCAGTCTCTCCTGCAATGAAGAGAGAGAGAGAGAGAAGAGAGAGAGGGAGGGAGAGAGAGAGCTAGTGGGAAGAGAGACAGGGGAAGGTCATTTTATTGGTGGACAGAGGCGAAGAACTGTTCACAATATGTATGCAAAATACACATAAATCCATCATACAATCAAGATATGCCAACATTTTTCAAAAATGGATTGGGTTAATAAATTTTGTAAAATTTTATATAATTTTGTAATTAATTTATGTGTTAGTAAAAAATATTTAATATAATTTTATTTAATGATAAATCTATCAATACTAGTAATTATCTTTATGTTATGAGAGCCGGCATAATAGAGCACATAAACAAAAATCTAAAAATTAATTTAACATAAAAATTGTTTAAAATATATATAAAAAAATATAGTTAGGAATTAATTAATTTTTAACCACTTTCATGAGAGTTACACTTCATTTTTATTATTATTGTATATTATTAATCATGTATTATAAATTCTTAATAACAAATACATGCCATAATTCTAAATTGTTACAAAATAATTGCGTCTCCACCCAATAAAAAATGATTAAATGTTTATATGATTCAGAAACAATGAACATTGTGAACAAATATCAAAAAACATTTTGAACAAATATCAAAATTTCATTGGATAGATACAAATCGTATGTGATAATTTCTACTAAGGACCCACAAATTGTTGATTATTTTGTTTTAATTAATCAAGATGTTGCGTTTGGTGTTTGATTTATTACCAATTAATTTTAACAATTTCCGCCTAGAAAGATATAGTCTACGTGTGATTGTGTTTTGTAAATGTGATTTGAGAGTATGAGTTATATTTTGAGTTTGTGTGTTGTAAAATTATGATTTGAGTGTAGAAAATTTATTTGATAAAGAGTTTTGAAAATAGTTTTGGAAAAGAGGTTTGATTTGAGTGGAAAATTATTGATATGACATTTGATATGTGATACAAAAATTTACAACTCATAACTAAACATACAATTCAAAATTATTTTAAAGCACATAAAAAATTAAAAAATTTTCAGAAAATATTTTTTCCGATTATATAAATCAATTGCAAAAAAAAAAAAAAAATATTTCGGTCAACCGGCCGGACGTCCCGCAAAGCCAAATTTTCCAAATGTGAAAAGAAACAACGCTTCTGTCATAACAAGTGTTCTGTATAGAGTTTTGTAATTACCATTTCAGACCACTAACCAAACACCATTATGGAATTAAGGTGTAGAATCACCATTTCAGTTCACAACCAAACAGAGCCATAGTGTTCAATAATTTTCTTTTCAACAAAATTAAGAATACAGATACCAAATACAGAATAAAATATAGATATATTTTATTCTGTATTTGGCCTTATGCTCTTAGACTTACTGTTTCCTTTTAGGGTATTTAGGCTCTCTTCAATGAAAGAACTAGGAAGAAGGAAAGGTTGGCCAAAAAGGGCAGAAGTGAAAGGAAGGGAAGGAAGCTTTTGCCAACATGCATATTTCCACTGTTTTTTTACCCTAATTTGTTTGTTTGTTTGTTTGTTTTTTTTTCGTTTTTTTTTTTAATTTAAAATTTATTTATTTATCATTCTTTTCCCTCTTTTGATAACTTTAATATGTATCAATGGCCTACCACAAATTACCTGAATTGTCATTTCCGGTGGCAAGGGTATCAATTTTTAAATAATAATTTGCACAAAAAAGTAGATAATAAAATCATGAAAGGTAATTCTTAATTTTTGTGTGCCAGGGTAACTTTGGCAATAAAAGTATGTTAAATAAAGAAAGAAAAATTCTAGCCATTATTTATTAGATGGGGGTTAATATTGATATATGTGTAGAAATTATACTATGAAAAGTGTACATAAATATATAAATGTATGAAATATGTAAAGGGTAACGCTCATCTAATTCAAAAGTTGAATTCACTTTTCAAACCCAACAATTTGACAATCAATTAGAATATTTAAGACAACTATCACTCTTATATTTTTTCTAATCATTAGTTAATCATCTCTCTTATACATCACTGGATTTAAAAACTAGATCTAAAAAGTACACTTATATATTAATTTCCATATGCAAAATGTGTATTGAAATGGGCACTTGAGCCATACATTCAATTTTGAAACTTTTGGGACAATAGCCCCAATCTCTAATTTTTTAGAGCCATAAGGATAATAATAATTTGAAAATTTATATTACCATTACTTATTTGTTTATCTATCTGTTCATGTGTCACATATCTGTCAACTTAATATATCTATTTGTTTATATCACGACTATTACTAGCCACCATCACCTGCCATCACCTATTACTGTCGCCCACCTCCTATGAATTTCTAGCAATCGATTGTGGTCCGGTGATAGTGGAAAAAATGAAAAAAAAAATTATCTTTTAAAAAATAATTTCTTATTCTCACGAAACACTTGAATCATGCTCTTACGATAAAATAAATAATAAATAAATAAAAACAATCCTTGGACTTATTGCCATACACTCCCCTAAAAATGGACTTTTTAACAATTTTTCATATTGAAATCTTTTTTTATATTTTATATTATTTGATTTTAGCTACCTAATAAATGATTGTTAGCAACACTTATAAAGGAAAATAGGGTTAATGCATTCAGCTGGATAGTGAAAAATAATTGCATTGCAAAAGAAATCTTCTGTAGTGCAAGTCTAACATATGAAAGCTTTACATATACACAAAAAAAGGACTTACACCTGATGAAAAATAAAAAAATTCTATTGTCCCATTTATTTGAGATTTCCCCAAGAATTACATCCACACCAATGACAAAATGATTAATGTTTTAAGACAAGCTTGCTAAGCAATCTATGTTAAAGGGGAAATTATTCAATAATTTTTTAGGGGATCATGACTTACTTTATCATTATTTACAAAAAATATCACACTTCCTTTTGATAGTGGAGTTCCCTACTAACACACATGTTGATGCTAACAACCTCACATATGTTGATGCTAAAAGACAAGACTAGTTTACTTGAACCAAGTTGAACAAAGAACCAAATTTTTGATGCTACTCAATAAGACTTCTTTTGAAAATTAGTTAAAATTTAATTTATTAATAAAAATAAATTTATAAAAGATTAATATATATATATAATTTGTTTGTTTGATATTTTTTTATTTTTTTATTTTCTAATAACTTTCTTTAGCATAAGCATGTTTACTTTAATTTGGATTTTTTTTTTTATAAAAAAAAATGAACTTGTTAAATGAGACTTATTAATTTTTTAACTAAATAAATTAAATAGCCAATAAATTAGGCTAGGATTTTTAACTTGTCTTAAAATAGGCTTGAGTCCTATTCTTTTCTATGCGTTTACATGAAATTGGTGGAGGTCAAGTCAAAATCTTTCTTTAAAAAATTAAAGTTATTTTACTTGTTTCGCAAGGCATTTGTATAAGTTGAAAGCCATGAATCCGAGTTTTGTAATTAAAAAAAAAAAGTTACAAGGCAATTGAGCATCTTTGCTATAACTTCATATTGATTTCAACACTTTATCTCTCTGTTGAAGGAATTTAAGATTGTATTTACTTCATGAATTTGGATAAAAAATTAAAAATAAAAAAATAAAAAAATATATAATATAATTACATTTTACACTTTTTTTTTTTCTTTTATTTTCTAAATTTTGCGCATGATTCATAAACTAAACAAAATCTAAAATTTCAAATATGAATAAAAGAATCACATTCAAATCATAACATCTTCAACAATGGATAAATGAAGTGTCAAAATTATTACAAAAGCAAAGGTACCCAAACAAAAGAAAAGATGAATCATTAGTGCCCCAAAAAAATAATACACAAGACTTTTGGTGCAAAAAGGGGTTTTACTTTAATAAATATTTTACTCTATTAATTTTATAATCTTTTTATATAAAATCCTACATTTTAAACAAAAATAAAGAATGTGTGGAACTAACCAAAAAAAAACACAAAACAGAGCCAACATTTCTGACCACGTAACAGGCCCAGTCGCCGGGAGCTTCTATTTGCACACACAACATACACTTTCTACACATATTCCCTCACTACACTTCCTACACACCTCCTTCATTAAATGTGTGTGGAGAAGAGGTTTAGTGTGTGTAAATAGAAGCTCCCCCAGTCGCCGCCCCTTTTAGTTTTAGTACGCTTCAATATTACAAATTTACCCTCATTTATATCTTAAATTTACGGATTTACCCCAACCACCATCGCTAGTGGCCCAATTATTAAGGCTCCGTTTGGCAAGAGCTAAACGGGGCTTTTTTTACTATTTTAGCCATAAAAGACAAAATAGGCTATTTTAGCCACAAAAAACAAAATATCACATCCAACCCATAATCATTATATTCTTCTCGCATAAAAAAAGTCAAAAAAGCCAAAAAGCCTTTCCCAAACCAAACTTTTTAGCCCAGGGTAAAATAGTCAAAAAAGCCAAAAAGCTAAAAAGCCAACCCACTTCCCAAACGGAGGCTAAGAGTGTTCAAATTAGCTAGCAAATCGAAAAAATGAAACAAATTAATGTCTTTGAATTTATTTTTTTTTTATTCATAGGAAAAGAATCAAATTGATGTCTTTGAATTGGACATAAAATAGTAAAGAATTACTCAAAAATAATTTTAAAAAATACTCAAAATAGTAAATTTCATATCAGCAGGCCAATATACATTCACTCGCCAACTCTCACAGCTCTCTTATTTCAGATCTATTAATTAAGCAAACGAATATAGATTAATTTTTTTAATTCACCTAAGTTCGGATATATGACAAATGAGAGACCATTCAATCTAATTCGATCCTCGAACACTCTTACTTTAAATCATCAAATTAAAAAGATTTGGTTGGTTCTTAATTTACATCTTACCCAAACCGAATCAACCCAAAAACGGAACATATTTATTTATATATATATATATATTTAATTTTATTTATATTAATATGTGCTCATCTAATTAATCTATTATTTGAATTTGATTGTACATAATAATTCTCATATAGAAAATTTATTAGGTGAACAGAAAAAATACAAGAAATTTGAGTTGAATTTCGT